AACTGAAAAAAATCAGGAAGCCAATAGAAGCTCAGAGGTGTGAGGGTAGACGCCGCATGCTGCCTCAAAGTGACTCCTAAAGTGCGTCTCTCAATCCTGGGTCCATGTTGGGTCTGCCAGACCGCCACACCGTCCGGCTGCGGTCACTCCGACATCAACGCGACGTCAGAGACTGCTTCTCTGGAGCTTACCTCCTACTGGCTCAGGTTCAAGAGGTTCCGATCGCAGGTTCCGATCTCAGTGCAGCGCCTGGACAGATCCGGGTAAAGTATCGGGTATCGGGGGCCAGAAGCCCCAAAGGTGTCAGCAGCGGGACATGCGTTTGCGGTATTGCTCCACCAGAGGGACCAGGCACTGAGGTGAGCCACTCTGCAGCAGGAACGGGTGTTCCAACAGGTCAGTGGCACTCGCCCGCTCGAAGGGGTCCCGAGTCAGCATTCGGTCCAGGAAGTCCTTCAGAACCGGGGAGATCTGAACCGAAGAGTAAAAACGGAAGATATTTAGTTTAATATTGTTTTCCAGCAGTTATTTCTTTGTACATTAAAAGTAGAGTAAGCAAAATGTTTTTGTTGGTAAACATTGAACATGTGACTCCTCCTCCTTTCCTTCCGTGCAGCAGGTTCTATAGATCATTTAAATGCCCCGAAACAAGAGGTCAAACGTGTTTTATATCAAGTATGAAAAAAATATTTTTTTAAATCCTTTAATTTTTTTTCAAAAAAAGAATCTCTACAATTAGGATTCAAAATAAGGTCAAAGCTGAGAAGTTGACCTAAAATAAAATGAGAGAGATTGAAAATCTCCATGTGTCTTTCTTCAATTTCCTGCCAGTATGTCAGTGTTGTGTTCAACTAAAAAGACGCAGGGCGTCATACCTGGCTGACGTTCCGTACGGTCGGAGCCGGTTCATCCCTCAGCCTCTTCATCGCTGCTACAGGGGTCTCACTGAAGTATGGGGGCTCTCCATCAACCATCTCCACCACCATGATACCCATGGACCAAACGTCCACCTAGTGGTTTCAACGCACCATGACGACACCATGTGACAGTAAACAGTTTAGTGTCTTTCCATTTCTGAATTTTATATTGTTCTTAGAAATTTGGTCAAAATTTGTTGTACAAGTACAGGAGTTGACTTTTGTTTTTTCCAAGGATGACATTTGATCATCTATGAAAATATGACTCAACTGCTCCCCCTGTGATACTTGAGAAAATAGTGATATTTCCTGACTTACAGATACAGATATTTTCTTGGTATTGTATTGCCTTAACAGAATAATTCAACGGCACAAAAGGCACGAAAACGTCTTTTTTTTTTTTTCATTTTCCAAACTAGAACCAAACCAAACGCATGCCTCCTCACCTCAGTGCCGTACGGTGATTTGGAGATGACCTCAGGAGCCATCCAATAGGGAGTTCCCACTAAAGACTTTCTCTTTGGGATATCTTTGCTAATTTGAGCACAGAAGCCAAAGTCTGAAAGTTTGACCTATGACGACGAGAGATAAACAGGAAGTCATAAATCAGACGAATAAATAACACACTGTAGTACTATCAGCAAAGAAAAGTACTATATACTGTATACTATATAACATATACTGAGTTTACTAACCTTTATTAAAAGAATTCTAGTCAATATTCCTTCTGCCTCAGTACGTTATACGCTCATAATATTATTACAAGTGCGATGCAACATCACGTCTACATCATATATAGTTGTAATAGTTAACAGCCCAGACACCAGGACCGCAGGTTGGACACATTACGACATGCAATTGAAGGAAACAGAATTATATGATCGTGTACACCAGACCTGGGCAAACTACGGCCCGTGGACCAGATACGGACCACTGGGCTCTCTCTCTCTCTCTGACTCACCAACCACTGGTACAAGATATGGTAAAGACTGACGTCAATCTTTGTGTTCCACGAATTGCAGCGAAACGACTGTAATGTCTGTTAATGCCACTAGAGGGCGGCATACATCAAATGTACCAAATGATTTTTTGAAAGTTTAGGTTCATTCTTCTACAATTTTTATTTAGATTACTTCGCCCAACATTCTACATCCAACCATGTGGGCCGAAAACGTACGTAAACATTACGGTGTAGAAATCTAGTAAATGTTGGAGAAAAATTTAGAACTGCATTTCGACTTCACCTATAGGAAAACACTACTATAAGAAAATAAAAAAACATATCAGTCTCACTCTTCCGTCTAATGTGAGTAGGATGGAGTCGCTCTTGATGTCGCGGTGAATGACGCCCTGTGAATGGAGATAGGCCAGAGCCTGGAGAACAGCTTCACACACGGTGGCAATCTGCTCTTCATTCAGCCTGCAGACACACACACACACACACACACACACACACAGGTTTTACATTAGCATTTCACACTTTTTTTTTTTTTGTTCCCACAATGCCTTACAACAAATCAACAGCTGAGCGAGTTGAAATTCATGAATCACTCTGACACTGAAGGGTCGAAAACAACTGCTCCCACTCAGAGCGGTGACTAATCAAATCTGTTGACTCTTCTACCGTCGGAGCTGCGCTGCGGTAACATGACTCAGCGTATCAGGATGACACCGGGGACTCAACGCCATCCAGACGTGTTGTGTCTCCACAGAGAAGTTTTTTTTTATCGCAGTGATGAATCCAGACTTGGAGTCTAAATCATATCAGTGAAACGACCGAAGGAGTCGGCGTTTGTTATGGATTATTCTAAGAACACGACACCCACGGCGTCCCACTCTGTGATTGTTTCGTCAATATTACTGACTTCCCCAGTCCTTGGTAAGCCGCGGCTTTGACAGCTGCTTTATCACACTGTGGCTTCAGAGATTTTTTTTAAATTTTTTTTTCTCCCTCTGAGTGAAGGGATCTAACCTGTGATGTCATCCTGCGGAGACGGCGCACATCACAAACACCGATCGCACTAAACCATGACACATCTGACGACATTCCTTTCCTGCTGGATGATAACAAGATCTGACTTTTTTTTTTTTTTTAAAAAAATAAGTATTTTCCTAATTTTGTCACTGCGATTTCCTAAAACTCTGACAGTTACAGGAAATGAACCGTCGACATTTGCATTTTCTATTCTTTTGCCCCCCCCCCCCCCCCCCCAGAGGAGCAGCAGGCCTGTGGTGTAGAACTGATGGACAGAGAGAGAGAGAGAGACAGAGATAAAGAGAGAGAGAGAAAGATCGGCAGCCAACACCACAGTACCCCCTGGTGGTCGCTGTGGTTATTAAAGATGATATCATAGGTTATGAAATGCACCAGAGATCAACGCTGTTCACACCTGGTTTCCGACACGATGTTGGTCAGCGCCCCGCCCTGGAGGTACTCCATGATGACCCACAGCTCCTCCTCCACCAGGGCGGACTTGAACATCTCCACCACGTTCCTGTGCTGATAGTCCCTCATGATCACCACCTGCAGCAGAAACAAAAGAAATAAGAAATAACAATCACACTCAAGACGCCTCACAAAACTGGACGTCTGCACGCCCCTAGGGGTGTGCAGAGGGACTGCAACTATTTTTGGTTACTTAATTAAGAAAATATATATATATATGTTTCGAATAAAAATGTGAACATATAAAACTGTGTATTAATTAAAACACTTAGTGAAATTACTTAGAAAATGATGCAATACTCACTTTAGTTTAAAGACTGATTTATAATAAATATACATTTATTACGGGGCCCTGTTCGTCTCTATATTAGTGCTGTGAAAGATAAAGGTAGTAAAATTTTGTGGTTTGTACAAACAAACTTTAAAAAAAAACAACAACTATATTTAGATTTTTGATTGTGTTTGTTCATTTGTTTTCTTGTTTTTTCTCGCTCGTTTGTCAGCTGTTTTCTTGTTTTTTCTCGCTCGTTTGTTAAGCTTCTAGAATCCGCATCTCTACAGCAGCAGGTTTCACCAACACGTTTCAAAGTCACAGACGTTTTCTGGTGAGAACTAAACACATTTCCACGCATTCGTTCCAGATGTAAAAAATAGAAAATCGATTGGACCTTTAAGGTGAGTGTTAAAATCCTAACCACAGACGTGACACCACGGCACCAGTTCTCACGTGTGTCTGATAAGTGAGACCAGAGCTCAAATGTTCCATTATCAAATGGACGTAAATAAAAATAATAAACGTAATTATTTCTACACTAAACCACATGTAATTATACTGTGAACCAACAGAGAATAACAAACGGTTCATAACGTGTAAATAATGACACTGAATTGCTCCATCCAACACCATCCTGTGTCTGTGGAAGTGCTGGAACGTCTTATTGGACCGTTTTATGATGTCACTGTCAGGGCTGTCTGTGTTTCCACTTCCTGTCTGGTCTGCTGGGTGGAGTCAGTGTCGTCACACTCACCTGTGTCTCTGTCATTAGTCTCACTGGTGTCACCTGGTGCCCTGGGTATATATACCTCCCTCTCTCTCTCTCTCTCTCACTCTGTCTGTTGTTGTTGGGTCAGTGTGTCTGTGTTTCCTAATAATCCTCGTCCTGTTTTGTAAGTTCACACTTTGTTAATAAACCCACTCTCCTGGTGTCACATTTGGGTCCTGCCTGATTTCTGTGGTGTCCGCATGTAACAGTCACTCATGACAAGCAGCGCTGAAGAACTTTCAGAACTTTGTTACCGTTGGGCTAAATGCACTTTTTTGTTTTTTTAACTTTTTTGCATTTTTGCATTGATGTTCATTCCGCTTTTTTGCACGTTTGCATTTGTTTCACTCTTTATACAGTAAAGAGGATAAATGTTATGTCCTCATGTAAAGATGATTAATGTCCTCAGGTCGATCGGAAATGAACTTTACCAGAGTAAACATTTAGATGTAGAATGAAAGTTTTCACGTGGCCTTGTAGTAAAATAATCTCTTAAACCTGAACCAATCCATAGATTTAACCGATTGAATGTAGTTAAAAGAAAATCAATCATTTACCTGAAATTGTTTTAGGTCATAAGGTCAAATATTGCGATATTCTGTTTCACGATACGGTATCGATAATCTACAGCACTGTATTGATTTTTTTTATTAATAATTAACATACAAATATTCACATTAGTTAATCCTGCGAAGGTTTTCTTTCTTCTCTAGTGATTCCAAATATAGATCTTTCTGTTCCAATGTTAGTAACTGATGTTCAGATGGAACAACACTGTGTTTCTTATGATGTTTTTCTACAATTACATTGTTTTAAAAAAAAACTCAATATATCATTGTACCTATAGAATCACAGTATATTGATTCGGAACATAATATGCTAATATATCCCGATATCAGCATATTATGTCATATCTGTATGAATCGTTATCTAAAAATAATTTTGGGGAAAAACGGCTGCATATTAAAGTGAAAGTCACTAGATGGCAGCGTTGCAGCTAATTTAATTAGTCATACTTCATAAGGTGGTTTGTACAGATAAGAAAATAAATATTACCAGGCCTATATCGGTATCGGTTGATATCGGAATCATAAATTATCGGCAAAAATTTAATATCTGGCATTCCTACAATATATTGCAATATATCCTTTTTTTTTTTTTTAAACTTTTTTGCATTTTCGCATTGATGTTCATTCTGCTTTTTTGCACATTTGCATTTGTTTCACTCTTTATACAGTAAAGATGATTAATGTCCTCAGGTCGATCGGAAATGAACTTTGCCAGAGTAAACATTTAGATGTAGAATGAAAGTTTTCACGTGGCCTTGTAGTAAAATAATCTCTTAAACCTGAACCAATCCATAGATTTAAATGATTGAATGTAGTTAAAAGAAAATCAATCAATTACCTGAAATTGTTTTAGGTCATAAGGTCGAATATTGCGATGTTCTGTTTCACGATTCGGTATCGATAATCTACAGCACTGTATTGATTTTTTTATTAACAATTAACATACAAATATTCAAATATATATATATTCAAATATTCCTCTGGTGGATTGTACGGGGACTGCAGACATATTACACTTTGAGTCAAAATGACAACCTTATTTTTTCATTTGTTTATCCAGATAAACCTGATGTTCAGATTGAACAGCAGCAGAGTCTGAGACTAGGATGATAGTTTTACTACAATTACATTGTTTTTAAAAAAACCCTCAATACATCATTGTGCCTATAGAATCACAGTATATTGATTTGGGACATAATATGCTAATATGTCCCAATATTAGCATATTATGTCATAACTGTATGAATCGTTATCAGTTTTTCCTCCGATAATGAAAACCCGATAATGCAATGCCTGGGGTTCTCCAAAACAATGTGTGCCCTAAAAATCGTTTTGGGGAAAAACAGCTGCATATTAAAGTGAAAGTCACTAGATGGCAGCGTTGCAGCTCATTTAATTAGTCTCATACTCATAAGGTGGTTTGCACAGATAAGTAAATAAATATTACCAGGCCTATATCGATATATATATCAGAATCGTAAATTATGGATGGACAATATCGGCTAAAAGTTAATATCTGGCATTCCTACAATATATTGCAATATATCACATCGTTGCCCTTGTATCGTGATACGTAAACGTGATCGTTTGCTAGATTTTTGCTATTACACACCCCTTGGTTCTGAGTGATAGCGTTCACACATGACCAGGTGAACTGAATGGATGTAACTGATTGACTTCTACTGGTCAGAACCAACATGGCCGCCCTCAGAAACATGACTTGTGACTTTGTACCTCATTGAACAGCAATTCTCGTCTCTGTTGGCGCCGCAGGTCCATCATCTTGACTGCGACCTCCCTGCCGCTGTGCTTTTCCATGGCGATGCACACCACCCCCGTCGAGCCCCCGCCG